TTGTGCGTGTTTGTGTGGTTTGTGCCAGTGTTGGTTCTTATTCGTGTGTGCTTGTGTTTGTGTGCTTGTTTGCAAGTTTGTATTTGCGTGTGTTGTGTCTGTGTGTGTGTTCTGTTTGTTTGTTTGTTTGTTTGTGTGTGTCTGTGTGTTCCTTGTTTGTTTGTATTCGTGTGCTTGTTGGCGAGTTTGTATTTGCTTGTGTTTGTGTTTGTTTGTGTGTTCTTGCTTGCGTGTGTTCTGTGTCTGCGTGTGTGTGTTTGTGCCTGGGCGTGTTCTTGTTCATGCGTGCGTGCGTGCGTGCGTGCGTGCGTGGGTGGGTGGGTGGGTGGATGGGTGGGTGGGTGGGTGGGTGGGTGGGTGTGTGTTTTTGTTCGGTTCTGTTTGTCGATGGGGGTCACTTGCCAGAAGCGTATTTGCTTTGGGGGTCCCTCTGCCTTCCCGCGCGCCTTGGGTAGGTAGTCGGGACCGAGACAGGGACCGCGACAGAGGACGGCTCGATCAGTCATGCTTGCCGCTTGCCTTTACTGTCCTGGCATTGGGGGGATGTCTTTTTTGAGGATGTATGTCTTTGAAAGGGACACCAAAAAGACATTGGCGATTTTCATTTTGAGAGCTCCCGGCTCACCTTCAGCAGGAAGCAGTCGCGCCCGTGACCGAGACAGAGGTGGCAACAACCTTGCACTTGGTTGTGTGCAGATGGGCAGCGAATTGGCAGGTGGGTCGCGCGGACGAGACCGGGATAGAGGCTGGAAATGAGCGTTGCCAGTACGCAATATGGCTGTGGGTCAAAAATTGGTACCCAAAATGGAACCCTGATAAATAGAACCAAAGACTCCCCTGGTGGGTTTATTTTGACCCATACCCATTTATTGAAAGGATAATGCCTGCTGGCTGACTAAACATTGCCATCGTTGCGAATTCATTTGAGCCGGCAGGGGATAGGAGGAGTGACCGTGATCGCGGCGGCCGCAACTTGCTTAGGAAGTAGATCGACTCCAGTTCAAAGTCTTGCCCGCAAAGCGCAAAGGTGACGTGAGAGATCGCGATCGAGACCGGAACGGCGACAATCGCAGAGACCGAAGATCACGATCCAGGTCGCGGCCACAGACAGCCACTCTCACATGTCATGTCAGGCGAGACGCGCACGACGCTCAGGGGCGCCGAGCGCCGATGTCTGGATTTGCACCGGAGCAGTCAGGATTGCCCACACAAACAGCAGAATCACAGGCACCCCAAGCACAGGGTGAGCTTACATTCTGGGCTTCTAGGCCTGCACGCCCGGGCCCACGCCCGGGCCCGTCAGTAGGAGTCAGCAAGCCACATGTTTTGGCATGCGCCGAGGGGAGTTGCCAGGGGTCCCTCTGCCCACCTCGCCAGGTGTGATGGTGCTGACCAAGGTTTTGACCTGCGCGTCCCGTCTCCCCGAACAAAAGTGAGCACGGCCACGGATAGGGCATGAACACCTCGCGGACAGGTTTTTTTAGAGCAACACTACTTTACGTGTTTGTTTCGTATAAGTTGGCAGAATGTGGTATAGGCAATTTGACTGGCCATAATTCGCCCAACGCTAACTTCAGTTGCCAGATGAAGTTCTTCATGGTGGCGGTGGCGCCCAAGATTTCGAACGCACAACCTCAAAAATACGTTTCCATTGCCTGCATCAGGACCCTGCTACTGTCCCATGTCGGCCTGTGATCTTTCAACGGAACAGAAATGCAGAAGCAACGCCTTTTTGGACCCCTTGCTTTGTTCGGCACGCGCAAAAAAACGCATGCAGACTCTTCAGGACCTCTTTCGGGTCGAATCCGACCGGCCACTTTTGGCCAGACCCATGTATGGCCAGGTTCGGAGGATGCCTCTCGATCCGCGGAGTTCCGAAGTGCTTGCATTCATTCCAGCCAATGAGCCCATGAGTCCATAGGCGTGAGGCATGAGTCCAATGAGGGTGCTGGCTGAAACTTGGACTGTTTGGACGTTGAAAAGGCCCAAAGACACGCTTGTGGTCAATGCGCAAGCGTCTTACTTAGCTCCGCTCGCCGGCCCCTGCAAAGCTGAGGCGATCCAGGGGCGGCTCTCGACGCCGCTCGCCACGTCGGGGGAACGGTCCTGCACTCGGACGGTGCAATCGGAGCGCTGTGTCACCCATGCCGTCCCAGGAGATAGAGACAGAGGAAATGACCGAGGTAGAGATTACGACAGGCGTTGGGCGCCCAGGTTGGATATGCTTTGCAAACACATGACAGGTTTGCAGGGCAGCTTCAGGGCAACTTTGCTCTTCATTCTTCCCCATCCAGACTTCCGAACTTGGTGTCTTGCTTTGCTGCTTCGGCAAACTGGGGGAAACCCAAAGAACCAATGAGACCCAAAGGTAAACCGCCCTGGGATCACCTGGGTGTGGGTCAAAATTAAACCACCAGGAATTGGACCGCTGGATTTTTTCCCATTCCCAGGGTTCCATTTTGGCACCTACTTTTATGACCCACAGCCACTCGCAGGTCGTGACCGAGACAGCCCCAAGGGCCGCGGAGGCGCCAAGGCTGCACGGCTTGCAGCGCTGGAGGCCATCAAGAGGCGGGAGCGGCTCAGTCTGGACGGGTGGCTCGGGAATTTTTGGGGTGCGGCACGCCTTTTCTTGGTGGTTGAAGGGGAAACCAAAAGGAAAACCACCAATTTGGAGGTGCCCTATAGATGGATTCCCTGCATAGAGGGTGCGGCTCTGTCAGGAAACGCGACCGGAGTGGCAGCAGCAAAAGCAGCGGAAGCCTCATGAGATATCTGCACAAGTCGCCAGAAATCCGCCGTACCGGGCTGGAGGGTCTGCCTCAGCCTTCCCTGAAACCTGTGATAGCTGGAGAGAAGCAGGTTCTTGTTGGACACGCGTGGAGAGCCTCTCGTTGTGCCAGCCAGGCTGTTGGCTGTTGGTTGATGCATTCCATTGCATTCCGTGCTGATCCGCTTGCACATGAGATGGTCAGCAGGGAAGGCAACAGCTGGCCCTGGCGGTTCTAGTTCCCATATCAGTTGAATCGAATGCCTAGGCAGCCGAAGCAGCAGCGTGGTGGCCTCATGTCACAATGTGGGCAGATGTTGACTAGAAACGTTATACCCTCCCCCAGGCAAACGTGGAAGCTCCCAGGACCCCTTTGAAAGATGTGGTTCCATCTACAGAGGCGTTCTGGGAGCTTCCATGTTAGTCTGAGGGAGTGTACCAGCCAGCCGCCTTTTCAAGCGAGAGCACCACTGAGTCCAGCAGCTCATCTCTGAGTATCGCGGGCGATTGGCTCAGATGGCTGCCTTGTGGCATTTTTTGGCGTGTATGCATTCGCACAGTCGCACCACCGGCTGCGCAGGCGAAAAACCTGCCAACGGCGATGTGGTAGAAATCATGGAGGCCGGCGGAAGAAGTAAGTCATCCTCACGCAAGCGATGAAGCGCGAGCCAATGCAGGATGCCAAGCCGCTTCCTCCTTCCACCGCTGCTTTAATTGCTGCGGAGATGGAGGCCTCGCCAATGTCGGCGCAGTTGGCAAGGAAACTGCGAATGTTCATGCACGTTTTCGTTGATGCCCAAAAAAGGACAAAGATCTAGGCTTACAATCAGAATGCCATGCAAGGCGCAAGCTGTCGAGCTCGGGAAGATGGGTGTGAAAGAGCTCAAGGCCGGCAATTTCTTGGTCGCCGATCTGCTCCCATCATGCCATGACATGCCTGCCAATGCCAGTTGTAGTGGCCTGAGCCGACTGGGATACAGTTTCAGAACGCGCAGGATTTGCGCAGTCCACTAAGTGAAACCCAAAGCGTGTAAACATACCTCCGGCAAGAACTCTTCCAGACGTGCAATCGAGCACTGCTTGGATTTGGAATTTTGCACAGCGATCTAAATCCAACAGTATCTCAGAGTATCTCATGCTGTCTGTTTTGTTACCGCGCAGTAAGTGGAAGCCGTGGCTTAGACGGCATGCCTCAAAAATATGCCATGTCTTATGCCGCAAGCCCTTGAAAGTGCACTGCGTCTTCTTCTCCTTCCGAAGCCACATGTCCCCAGGAGCTGCTGAAGGATGCGGGTGTGTCCTTTGCCCCTTGGCAAGGGACCAGCTTTGGCTTTCTAGCCATTGCTCAGAATCTTTTCGCGTGCCTTCAAGCTTGTGGCTATCGTCACTATTTTGCGTTGGAGTGGTGCAAAAAGCGGCGGACCACAGAGCTGTTCCCGGGACTCATTCTCTGTCATGGGAAGCATGGTGACCAATTTCCTTTGACCAGGGTGAGGACATGCGGGAAATCCTGCGCGTGCCTCCGCAACAAAGGGGAATAGGAGAACGTGCAAGACCACAGAAACCTATGATCTTTGCAATCCTTTCAGTGAGTTCTCGCGACGATGGGAGGCACGAGCTACAAGCTACATAGGTGCTGCGTGGTTGTGTCGTGCATGAGGTTAAGTGTAGCGGAGTTGCTCCTGTGTGCATGCGCACGACGTTATCCTACGTACGGGACTGCGAGTTGGCTTGTTCTTGGGGTCAAGCTGTGAATTTGGTTGCCTTCTCAAGTAGGTTTGATTTGGTTTGGTTGTCTACTTGAACAAAACATCATAGCAGTCAAGCCCTTGCAAGGCTCAACACGTTTCGTGCTGATTCAACTCATCTCCAAACGCCACTGGAATTGTTGAAAGCAATTTACATGTGATACGACAGCATCGCTGGTGTGGGATTTGAGGCCGGAGCTACTGAGAAGGAGGTCGGGAAGAGCCTGAGCGAAAGCACACTCTAAAATATGACGCCATTTACGGAACACCTTTGCCAGCCGACTTGGTTTATCACCTGGCAAAATTGGTTTTGTCGGGTTTCCTGTCAAGAGGCTTGAGCCACTCGTTAGACTTTTTTTGCAGGACCTTGTCAGGTGCTGCACTCAGACCACCGGCTCAGCATCAGCATTGTGCAACGTGCAGCTGCATGTCATCAGCCGGTGAAGCAGCATGGAGCTGGCAATGAGTGTGCGTTGGATGCAACAGCAGTTCTTGCTTCATGCTTCTGCGGCCAAGGCTGCTGACAAAGGCACGCGCTCAAGCAAAGGCAAACGACGTGAAGTTCGTACCAGCCCCGGTGATTTTGGCCAGCCAGCATGTTGCAGAAAACATATGAACACATTGCCACCTAGACATACTGTTGGCCACCCCTCGCTCTTCCATCGCCCACTTCTCCCCGCAGAAGGGCGGACAGTAGACTTTAGGGACGAGCGCGCCACGCTCGCAGCGCCTTTGCGGCCCCTGCCCCCTATCATTGATCATTATTGTTCTTTGGGTCGCCTCGCTGTCATGACCCTACAAAGTACTTGCCAGCATCACGTGGAATCCACCCCTCAGAACCTTACTGATATTTGCTATCCTCCAAGATGCTTCTCATCACACCTTTGAAATCCCATCTCTTGTATGAACACGAGCTGGACCCTGGAGTGGCCCCTGGAATGTTCCTTAGTTCCCTTCACCAGGTTAAAACTAAGGAGCCCTTCCACCTTGGCCCTTGCAAACTGGAGAAGGGCAGGGAGAGAGTTTGAGAGAGGGATCCCTTCCTTGAAAAGCCTTCGTAAGTAGAGCTTCAGGTTGCCTCAAAGCAATGGCAGCGAGTCCCAGATGGGGTTGCCCTCCCCACTGGCCTCGAGGCGGGCTCGCCCAAGTCTGCCGTTGCACCAGCGGGCTCTTGATATTTGCACTGAGTGCCAATGATACTCAGCTGGAGCAAGCCTAATGCTGAAGCTGGCCCATCCGTTGCCTGACGGATTTAAGCTTTTAGGGTTTAGTGAAGGTGTCCATTTGGGCATGATGGTTGATAAACATGCAGCCTTTTCTCAAGAAAGGGTGTTGTATTGTGTTGTGACTAAAGAAGTTGCGTAGCACTGTCAGCTCCACTTGGTTGTCAGGTCAAGTTCGACATGGACCGAGGCTTGCGCTACTTTCCTCCATGAAGCGGTGCATGTTGCCGGGGACAGGCTGCAACTACGCTCGGATCCCGCATGAGAAGAAGAAGTGAGGGCTGCTGGTGCAGTCTCGCGGATAGCATCTCCCCCGGCCGCGGAGCCGAGTGTTAATGGTCTACCGAGGCAAGCGCGCGGAGTTTGCATGAGCTGATCGTTGATGCATCCCCTTGTTGCAGCTGCCTCAAGCACTGCACCAACCCAGGGGAGCTGCAAACAGCCAGACTAGGGCTGGGTGTTTCCAACACCTCTCCGATGAAGCACAAGATCAGTTGTCACCAAACCAATTCTCACGCAGCCCAACAGGAGAGCCCAACAGGAGAGAACAAGCGGATCAAGCCTTCAGTTCCATGTTTGCAGCCCACCTGCGGGCAAGTTGCGGGAAGCAGGCCCTGCTCATGCCTGCCAGCGATACATACCGCGTACGGAAAGAGGAGCTTCCGCGCGTGTTGCAGCCGGCTTTGACATGAGGCACTGGCGGCTGAGAATGCCTGACGCTTGGGCATGGCCATTCCGCAGCATTGGCTGCTACAGCCATTGGCATGGCCGGCACCCGACATGCGGCCTGAGATTTGGAGATGAGCCTGGCCCACCAAGCCTCCACCTCGAGTGTCGACAATGAGCTGGCTCAAACTGGCACGACGCCACCTAAGCGGGTCGGGCGAACAACAACAGAACACGTCTTCTGCGCAATTGGGTGGTGCATCGTTCATGGGGGTTTGCAGTCGGGCTTCACCTGGCACAACTCAGGAGCGTGTCAAATGACCCAATGGATGCCTATGAAGAGGCTGGATCTTTGGCTGGCCACCTGCATGCTTGAGTAGTTGGCCGTGCGAGGTGAAGACATTGGGTCGCAACTTGGCCAGACCATGTTTTGCAGTGTGCATTTGTCAAGGCCATTTGCCTCTTTGGTGCGTTGTGTGTATGCCAACTGCTTAGGTGGTGCATTCGGCCAGCATCTCAGAGAGAGGACGGGATCTGATTTGCTGCCAAATACTTTGGGCTTTGGAGGCGTGGCGACGCTGGTAAAGTCGAAGACAGGTGGTCGCAGCGGGCTTTGAAATCCTTGGCGCACGATGCTGCTGAAATCTGCTGAAGTTTGCAGTGTAAGCGGACCTGTGGAGCATGGGGGGTGTGTGCTTGGCGCGGAGTCAAGAGCGCAGCTGAGGCCGGGCCTTTCGAGCTTGGACCTTGGCATAACGGCATAACGGCCATATGTGAGCCGACAACATGGAAGATCCAGGATAAGGTACTGGGAGAAGTTCTCAGTCCAAGACTTGTTCTGCCCAGGTCATTAAGCAGATCGACCTGAGTGTTCTGACTGCAGCTGCACTGGAAGAGTCCCACAAAGAAGTGGGCGTTCTGCGGCAATTGTCACACAGACACATCGTCGCGTATTATGAGCCTTGACCCGCAGGCAGGCCAATGCATCATAATTTGTGCGGATGTGGAGTAGGTATGTGTTGCATTTCTTTGGAGGCGGTCAAAGTTTCCCCCATACTTGCCATGTCGATTGCAAACCTCACATTTGGAAGCAATGTTAAAGAGGTTCCTTTCAGTGAGGTGTTGGGGAGCCTACCCCGAAGGCTTGTTCTCAACCAAGGACACATTTGTGAGGAGTAATGCACTCTACATCGTGATGGAGTATGCTGACGGTGGAGACCTAACAAACCTGATCCGAAAGCACAAGGATGACAACGAGCCCTTTACCGAGACAGATGCAATGACCATCTTTAGCCAATGCCTACTAGCGCTTCAGTATATCCACTCGAAGCATATACTTCACAGACACTTGGTGATGTTTCGAACGGTTTTCAGTGGACCCGGGGAGGTAACCGCTGACCTTCCGACTAAATGATCGAAAAAGTCTTTATGTGCATATCTGTGTGTGTATACACATGACGATATATGCACACACACACACATATATATATACATATATATATATATATGTGCGCGTGTGTAAATGGGTAGGGCGCCCTCAAACTCCGCTAAACGTGGCCAGGGCTACCTGCCACTCAGTACAGTAGTCCTTTGGATGTGAGAGCAATCGGCAGAGGGCACCCTGGCCAAGGAGACATCAAATCCCAGAATATTTTTATGATGCAATCTGGTGATGCCAAGATAGGACCGGCAGCGCTTGACGGGTCTTGACGTGCTTTGTGGTTGTTTTGTGTTGGCCGGCATTTGTCCATCCTGGACCGCTGGAGAGGCGATTTCGGCATCTCGAAGGTTATTGAAGGTACCACTGCTGCAGCTGGAACGGTCGCCAAATCCTCAGCTGCATGAGCTTCAAGGGGCTAGGCTTGGAAATCCCCTGGCCCCCTGTCTTTTTTATCTCTCTCTTTAGGTGGGCACTCCGTCCTACTTTGCGCCGGAGATTTGCGAGGACAAGCCTTACAACTCCAAGATCGATGTGTGGTCTATGGGCGTGGTGCTCTACGAGCTCCTGGCGCTGGCCCAGCCCTTCGCCGCTTCGAACGTGGCGGCCTTGATCATGAAGATCGTGAACGCGGAGCCACCCCCGCTGCCGGAGCCATGGCGCGACGAAGTGCGGGAGGCCGGCACAAGGCTTACCGGCAGCATCCGGCGGCATGAAAAGCATGACTTGCAAGATGTTGCGACCCTTCGGTGCGGTTTGGCCAGCGAGTGTGAAAGCACTTTTCTGGCAGCCATGGCTGCATTTTGCCCGAAAGCTATGTAGTAACGGCCACAAAAGGAATGCTTTTAACGGCGGCAATATACCCTAAGGTTTGCAAAACGTGTCAAAGCCGGGGAAACTTGTGGTCTCAATGCGGAACCCGGTCTTTTACCGCCTCAAAGGGCAAAGAAAGCGCGAACTGGGACCCCAGACCAATCTCTTGGCGCGCACCCTAAACCCTAAATCAACCTTGCAACCATAAACCAATCACCAGCGGCATGCCAACTGGGACCCCAATCTCTTGACGCTCTAAATCAACCTTCACATATCCTAATTCAGTTCCAAGCCAACCAAACAAGAGGAAAAAAAAACAATCAACAAAGCAATCAAACAAATCGTTTCACCAATCAGTTGAGACAAATCGATGGACAACGCCCAAGCTGAACTCGCCAGGTGGTGTCGCGGGCCCTCAACAAGAACCCCGAGGAGCGCGCCAGCGCTGAGGAGTTGCTGGCGCTGCCCCCGGCACCTCGGGCCGAGAGAACCCGGCCGTAGGTGCTCAGTCGGGGAGGTGGGAATGAAATCGGTTAAGTCTCCAGTCTCCTTAAAGAGAGGTTCACCAGTTGTAAAGATGGTTTAGGGGGGGGGAGGGGCATTTTTCCCTCATGCGCGGAGGGCCAGCAAGAATATGAGAGGCTCTGTTTTGGGTGGCCGGGGCAAAGCAATGTGGGTTGAAATAGCTGAAGTCCTTTTGAGGGAGCGTCTCAAGCGTCAGTTGCCATGTGTTGCCCAGGTAAGCTGCACGGCCACTGGCCAGCATTCCTTAGTTTGCGGAAGGAATTGCAGATGATGGAGCTATCCGAGGTCGCACCAAATGCAGACCTGACCATGACTCTCTCTATGGAGCAGTTTGAGAAGATTCAACAGCTCGGAAGGGGAGCACACGGTGCGCTGAGGCTGGGCAAATGTGCGCGTCTCAGCTGATTCGCGAGGCGTCGCCTATTTGGTGAAGCAGAAGTTTGCTGGAAGCGCTGCCGCCCTCCGTGTGGCCACCATCTCAACGTGTGATGCACGCAGACGGCAGTGCTTCGCGCTGCAGGTCAAGACAGTTGAAGTCAGCCGTATGGACGCGGCTTCGCAGAAGGGTGCGAAAGACGAAGTGGCGCTCCTGTGCTTCCCTCAGCCAGCTTGGCTCCCCAAAGACGGCCAATGCAAACATGTCGGCAGAAAGTTTCACAGCTTTCAAGGCGGCGGTTGGCCCACCCGCACATCATCGCCTACTACGATGCGTTTTTCGAGGCTTGCTAGCGAAGAAACCGGGTTCCGCAGTTTCCCTTTTCTAGACCAAAGATTGGCTTTCGTTGGAACCCGCCAGCACGTTGCAACTTTGATTGAGTCAATTTATAAAGTCCGGAACAGGGTCCGGAACCCACATGCGATCCAGACCTCCGTTCCAGACCTCCGTTCCAGACCTTGCCTAGAAACATGTTCCAGACCTTCCGTTCCAGACCTTGTTTATGTATATTTATTTCTAGAGTCTTGATTCAGATGGTCGTTCTTTGTCGGGTGTGCAAGTGCAATGGCCAAGGCTGAAATGGCGTGGAGCAAGAAAGAAGGAGCAAAGGAGCAAGAAAGAAGGAGAAAGAAATGAAGACAGGAGTATCGGTGTTCCGGAACTTTGGTTCGGTTCGGTGCGATGCAATTCCGCCGCTTTCGATACGATACGGAAACGGTTCGATACCGTTCTCGGTTGAAACGACCATGTTTACATGCGGCTTGCTAGCATTCCAAATGTGCAAGCCACTCGCGTAACCGTTCCAGACCCCGTTCCAGACCCGTTCCAGACCCCGTTCCAGACGCAGCGGGGCAATTTGCCACCAAGTCCACATGCACACACATGCGCCATGTACTGTAAGTAGCTGCGCTTCTTACGTGGCCCGCCACCCAAGAAGCCTTCAAGGACGACATGTGCCAGGGCTTTGGAGACAAAGAAGTCTTTGAAGGATACCCTGCATCGGCTTGCGCATCGGTGGACATCGGCTTACGCCTCCCAGCCTTGTGCATCGGCTGGCGCGCGTGGCGGGCGTGACTACAGTGCATCGGTGTCCCAATGACGCGAGGGTGGCAACGATGGCGGCGCGCCCGTAGTCGCTTCATCCATCCATCTACCCATCCATCCATTCATCCATCCATCTATCCATTTTACACTAAATGAACGTGTGCTTGAGGACTCCACGCATGTCCCCCCCAGAGGTCCGGAACAAGCGACCTTGCGCAACTGACTCGTTCCAGACGTCCGCGTCACCGCGGAACGTTCCACACCAGAATATTGACCCCCGCCCTGATGGGGAAACCAAATGAGGGTTGAGGGGGCCCCCCAGTCCGAACCGCACAGGACATGGTAACCGGCAAGAAAGGTGCATATATTTCGCCAAAAACTGAAATAAAATAAGCACAGGTGATATCCCCAACAGCGCTCGTTTTAGTGCTCGCCCCATCCCGCAGTCCTTGCAGAACCTTGTGAAACTCTCGTGGAACCGTGGTGGAACCCTCGTGAAACCTTACCTCAGGGCCCCCCGGACCACCCCACAGCCTATCTGGGCTGAGACCCCAAAGCTTTCAGCTGTTGGGGAAAAACGCGACTTTTAGCGGTTTCAGGACTTGTCAATTTTGCGCTGTGTCAACTTTTTGACTGCTCTTGGTTCTTCTCAACTTTTCGACTTGTAGTTGTTGTTTGTAGCTTGTTTTGTTATTGCGACTTTCGGCTTGTCCGTCGGTTTTCGCATTCATTCTACTCCATATTTGTGTAAGCTCCGGTATGTTCAGTCTTTCTCTTTTGGGTGTTTTCCACTTTGAGCGTTCGTCGGCTGTCGGTCTATTTCAGCTTTCCGACTTCACAACCATGCAATTCGCCTTGAATGATTACCTTTTTTGAATAGAGCCCCGGTGATGCTGTGGCAGGATTCCCCTTGGGCTTTCCTTCAAAGAAGTTCACCGACAAACACGACAAGCAGAGGCAAACAAAGCCAGCAAGTGACACTCCTGATTGCCATTCGTTATGTGTTTTTGTTGAAGCAGAGCGATCGAGTCGTTTCAGTTGAGCCACCGTGCCGTTTTGGTGCTCTGATTGTCAGCGATTGTGGGGGAATTTGCCAAGGTGTTGTTGTTTGTTTGTTTGTTTGTTTGTTTGTTTGGGCAATATTTTGGGCCGAATGCAGGCTCGCAGGCATAGTGTTTCTTTGGATACAGGCAATGTTACGTGATACCACTAGTTCAAGGGGTTCAATGCCTCAACTCGCATGTCAGACGCATATTACTGCATGCGCGCAGGCGCGCGTAGCCAATTTTTGACAGTGGGCTGGGGAGCTTGTTGCGTAGGCACGGCGTAGGCCCAACTTGACAGTTTGCCGGTAGGATGGGGCAAGGATGTGCGAAGAAAAAGACATGTAAGTCCCATTGCTTCTCAATCCCAGCAGCTGGTGAGAGCCCATCAATCTCCTTTAGTAAGCCTTACCAACAGCTAGAGATTGTGAGGGATCAAGACGGGATAACATCAGTTGCATTCACACAGGTATCGTTCACCGAAGCCCAATTCGATATAATTCGATAATGTTTGCGAGATATGCAAATGAATTCAACATATCTAATTGTGATATTGAGTCTCAATAAGATAAATGAGTTAAATGACAATCATGTCATCAACTATACAAACAATACAAGCCTTTGCAGAGTGATCATGTCCCATCCGTCAATAAGATAAGACAGAATGAAGGGTCAAAGGTAGTTTATTTCGATATATCATGTAGCTCGTCTCTTTCTTTCTTTAAATTGATATGGAGGTCTATTTATTTTGGGATGTTTCCGTTTTAATTTAGGATTGTTTCCCGTATTTTGCCTTATCTGGCTTCTTATAGCTTCTTGGCTTCTGGCCTTTCTCTTCTTGGAGTCTGGGCTTTTTGGCTTTTGGCTTGTTGCTTTTTGGTTTCTTGGCTTTTGGCTTTTTGGCTTTTCGGCTTTTCGGCTTTTCGGCTTCTGGCTTTTTGGCTTTACTTTTTGTGGGCTTTGTGGCTTTAGCTTTCCGCATCCTCAGCATCACCGCCTTTTGGCATTTTTTGATTTTTGGTTGGTGGCTTCTTACCTCCCATGATTCTGTAGATGGGGAGGGCTCCCCCCCCCCCCCGCTTCTTTGTAGGCAACAAACTGCAATGAATCCAACGCCCACCCCAAACTCACGTTTGGGCCCAAAACCCCCCTAAACCAACCCACCCTAAACCACCACCAAAACTGGAACCAACCTAACCAAACCCTAAAAGCCAACCCTAAAGAAACTCTAAAGTAACCTTAAACCAGCAAGACTCCCTAAAGAAAACCCTAAACAAACCCACTCTAAACCAGCAAGAGACTGTCCCTCAACCAACTCTAAACCTACCCTATGCCAACCCTGGACCCCAAACACCTAAGCCAATCCCGAAGCCCACCCTAACCCCACCCAAAACCGACCCTAAGTCCGCACTAAGTTTGTATTATTCTGTATTGATGCTGGTTTAGAGTGGGTTTGTATTACACGATCCGCACTAAACCAGCACAAAGCCATTGCTAATAAGCCCACCTCAAACCACCCCAATCCCTAACCCCCCAAACTAAACCCGCTCTAAACCCACCCTTCACAAACCCAAAGCAAACACGATACCAACCGCCCCCTACCCCCCAAACAAACCAAGCCAACACTAAACCATCCCACCTAAGCACAACCACAGCCTAGACCAACTCTAAACTCACCCGAAACCGGCCAAAACCCCTGAACCAACCCCAAGAAGCCCACCATAAACCAGCACTAAACCATCCCAGTCCTAAAGCGCAGCCCCTGAACTCACCATGAACCAACCCTAGCCAACCTAAACCCGCCCTAAGCCCAGCCGAACAAATCCAACTCGTGGTGCTGAGGATGTAGAAAAGGATGCCGAGTTAAAACGATGCGGATGTTGACAGCGCCGGTGCAAAACCAGTCAAACCACAGCAGAACCAAGGGAGATCGCAGCTGCCAGTTCCAACACAGAAAATCCGAATCCCGAAACAAAACGGGAAAAGTTCCCAAAACAAATCGGGACCCAATTGATAGTCTTCCCTAGCCCTTACTGTACCAGCAGCTGGGGTATAGCAGGAATGTAAGTTTCCCCCTACTCAAATTACCCACTAGTGTAGTGCATGGTGCAGCCTCCTTTTCTAGTCATCATTGGACATCACAGCCGAAACAAGAAGGTTTTGTGAGTGGGGGGGGGCAATTTTGTTTTTTTGTTTCACAAATCCATTCCTACTCAAAAGTAAAGAAGGGCAGGTCATTTGAGCAGAAGGCCAAGGTAAGAGGCTCACTGGTTTCTTTATCAACATCACCAGTGTATGCATCTTGTGTTTTTGACTTTTCGCGACGTGGCCGCTTTTCGCGACTGTTCGACTTTTCGTGATTCTTTTGTCGGGGTTATTTTCCTTTGGACGCACACCCGCCCATGTTCCATCGAAGCACTGCTCCTGGTCTGTGCCAGGACATAAAAAAAAGGGGCAAAGGTGACCCAGAGACAAAACAACTAACACCAAACAGAAGTGTCAGGTCAGCCTTGCCGAACGTTTGTTTCTCGCCTTAAAATCGCGTTTGCGGGAGGCGGATTGAAGATGCTCATCATGAAAGACTGTACAGGTATAGATCTTCGGATCCCGTATACGAATCTGTGCGTACGAGGTAAACAACAGCCAACCACGTGCCGAATTTATTTTCTGAATTGTGCATACTCATCTAACACTGCCTTGAATTCGAGGGGTGAAGTCAAGACGGGTCTTTGGGTAAGACCAACTGCCGCTTCAAAAGCGTGAGCACTAGTAAGAGAGGTCGCTCTTGTACACTCAATGCAACTTTCGTGACGTTTCGAGTTTCGCGTTGTGGACTTTTGACTTTTCGACTTTGCACATTCAAAAGCTGATTCTCACAGTGGACCGCTCGCCAGGCTGAGCAACTGAACATTGTCTTGGAGTACGCGGATGGAGGTTGGGGGTTTCACCCCAGAAGCCAAGAGGGGAGCGGGGATGGGGCTGCCCCTAGTAGCTGGCCAACCGCAAAGTCTCAAGGCCGCTGATCACCGTGCCCAGTGCATGTCACCAAGCTGAGGCGATCTGTTTACTGCGGTGAAGAGGCAAGGTACAGATGCTGTGCATCCAGCACAGGATCGCGGAACTCTCCTATCGCCAGGCGAAAGGAGGAGGAATCGACCTTTACCGATGAAGAGGCCATGACGTGGCACAAGTCTTAGAGCCAGTTGCAATTGGTGACTCAGCAGCTCCATGGTATATGCCCCACTTGCCCAGTGCCCTTTTGTCCTTTTTCTCGGGAAGGGTTCCCCTTTAAAGTCGACCAACAAAACAGGATGCGCATTTTTTCCCCATGGCCATTGGGCATTTGAGATGCGCCTAGGTTTCGGCAGTGCCTATCTGCCCTCGGCTACATCCATAAAAAGAAGATCCTCCATCGTGACATCAAGACGCAGAATATATTCCTCATGAAATCTGGTGATGCGAAGCTTGGAGATTTTGGAATCTCCAAAGTTATGGATGGGACCATGGCCGAAGCTGGAACAGTGGTTGGGACGCTGCTCAGCCTGCACTTTGCGCTTTTGCTCGTTATAATGGCCTTGGTTGCATCGCCTGCTACCAAGGCCTGCATATTTGGCCACTTGGTCCGAGCAGGTTGCTGGCTTCTAAGTAAAGGATATGTTTACAAACCACTAGCCTTGCCTTTTTGCAAACGACTCCCCAAGTCACAAGCATGCCGTGCAGCGGGGAAATAGCCCGTGATAGCCCCCACAACGTGACCCAGGCACCAGAGATTTGCCAGAGCACTCCATATGGCAGCTCGGTTGCAACTCCAAAAAAGTATGGCAGTTGCTGGCGTTGCCGGTAATTTCATGCTGTGGTGGCTGCCTCATTTTTTTCTGACACTGGAAGGCGAAGGGAGAGAGAGGGCGAGAAAGAGAGAGAGAGAGAGAGAGTGCGCAGAAACTTGGCTTCTGCAAACATAAAGGAGTTAGCTCCTCTAAGCTTCTAGAGCTACACGCGCTTTTAGTTTGGACCTTGATTGAGCAAGCTTTGCGATTTTGCTTCGTGTGCATGAGCGTCAGCCCAGTTTTGGCGTCCGAAGTGTGCCTACACCGAGATAGCACCCGAAAGGCAGCGGCACCCAAAGAGCAGCTGTAACAGGCCAATATGCCGATGCCAAACACCTGCCGGCATCATGCATGGCGTCCGGTGGCAATGTAGTCATCAGACAAGTCGCCAAAAGTCGTGTACGGTTTCCGCATCTTTCATTTGGCGCAACACTAGGGCTCAAAGAGGCCGCTTGCCTCTTTGTTTTTAGACGACGCTGTGACGCTTGGCTCTTCGCGCTTGCAGGACAACCCCAGCCAGACACGTGCGACAGTTCGCAAGATCTGCCCTTGGGCACCCGCCGCTTGCGACGTCGTTGGCCGGTTGCGACAGCGGTACAGTAACCGCAGCTCCTTTAGGCCTTCATCGAGCCAAAGGGAAGCCGGTCGATGGATTTAGTTGATGCTTGCCATCCTTAGTTTGACACTCGCGGGAGCTCAGTGACTCAGGCAGCCGCATCGACGTGTGGTCGCTGGGCACTGTGCTTTATGAGCTTCTGGCTTTGAGGCACAGCGACCCTTGGACGTGCAGATCGCCCGAAGTTGTCCCTTCATTCGTGGCCCCTGATGAACTGGAGGGGTTGAGCCATGAATCAGATGGAGGGTCCGGAAGTGCAACCCGACACACGGCAGGCATCCATTTCAGTGCAGCAACATGGCGGCCACGGTGATGAAGATCATCAGCAAGGAGCCTGAGCCCTTGCCGTCTTCAGTAAGCCCGGAGGCGGGGCTCGTGGTAGGGAAATTCGGGGGATTGCGCCGGGGAAATGGGATTGATATTGGAACACGGCTGCACCAAGAAATTCAACGGCAGGTCGCACTCAGCGTTGCCAGGTCGTCCAGATTGTGCAACTCTGCTTGCAGAAGGACGCTTCCAAGCGGCCTTCGGCAAAGGCGGGATGCACACGTCTGCTTTTGGGCGGCTTTGCAGCCCGCACCCAGGAGCTGTTGGCACATCCTGCAATGAAGCGGTTCGGATGCGAAACGCAGAGGCAAAATCCTGCCCCTTGGGTGCTTGGCTGGCTCACGCGTTTCCAGGCTCGACGCCACGCAGTCGTCTGACCTTGGTTCCAGCTGGGGCGGGGGCAAAATTGTGGAGGAGGACCGACTTGCCTGCACAATCCCAAGATGTTGCCCAGCCTTTGTTACTCCTGAAGGATGGAGAGGGAACTTTTGATGCAGGCCTTGCCTTTGAGCTTGCTTTTGTTTCTAGGCGTCTTGTTTTGAGGTGGCACCCGCATGTACACGGCCGAGTTCTGCGTCGTTGATCCAGATGCCACTGGCGACAGATCCCTGAAGGCAACTGAGCTTGATGCGTGCTTGACGAACTGTTGGCTGACGCCTGGCAAACGAATGCATCAGTTTTGGCGTACGTTGAGCTTTGGTGGCGATACATTCAGGGGATTCTGCAAGCCAACCTGGACGGCGACACGGCGGCCAGCACCATGATGGGCACCGTGATCGGCGGCACCATGATAGGCACTACAGCCTTGTCCGCCGGCCACTCAGTGACTGAGGTCCAGCCAGGCGATGGCCATGTCGAATAAGAATGATCTTGGTGGTTGGAACCGGAATGAAGGGAACAGAAGGCTAGGTCTCCACATTCGTCTAAGCAAGCTGGAGGAACATAATGTAGGATCAAGAGGCCCTAAGGAGCCCTAATTGAGCACACTGGCATATGGGCGTGGGTCAAAGTTTAAGAGCTAGGGTTACGCAGGTTCTAGTCTGTGGTTCCATTTGCCAAGGGTGCCATGTTGGTACATGTTTTTGAGCCACAGCCATATGTCGAACCTATGCACTCCTTTTTGGAGGTTGTGAAAAAGGATGTCAACATGGGGCCAAACCTGTGAAGCCCCTGCTGATGGCATATTCTAGATCCTTCTGTGAGGATAGTTCGAGACAATCAAGCATTGCTTCCGTTGAATACGGTATGGCGTGACAGCGTCAAGCTTCACTTCCTTTTTCTTAAAAGCTTTGATGTAAAGCTCGCCGGAGCTCAAATCGATCACCTAAAGTTGTCGATGACTTTGATTTGCCACGTCGAGTGGAACTACCATATAGGTTCTTGAAGATTAAACCGGAACCACCAAAAGGGACCTGACTCTGACCCCTTCAAGGGATATTTGAGCGCACAGGCTACGGCTTCGCTGCAGGCCACTGTCTCGCCGGCCTCAGGGGCGGAGGCGCGGTTCCTTGAGTGGCTGGCTGGGGGTACATCTCCAGGTCCAAAGGGGGCCATAGAATTCAACGTGCAGGTTATCAAACATGAGGAGTGTTGTTGGGGAGCAGGGCAAGGGTTCCAGGGAGGTAATTAATTGCCATCCAGATTTGGTTCCTGGCTGGCTGAGGTCTCAAATGTTTGTCAAAGAGCACGTTGCACGAAGTCTTCATGACTTCCGCTTGCGGCAGTGTTTGAAGTATGCCTGCGCATGTTGGCAGGGATCCTTGCTCGGCACCTCCACACTGGTTCTGGCAAACCAGCGGCCTGGCATGGCAAGTTTTGCATGTGATTGCATTGCTTAGCTAATGGGAAGGCGGCTCAGCAAACAAAAACTGAGGCAAGGCAAAAGCGTCGTGCCCTTAGTTTCGTGGCCTTTCACACATCGGTGTCAGGCATGTCAGAAACGAGTCTGAGGGCACGGTGGTGCTCAGACGTGAAGATGAGGACATTCAAGAGGAGGAAGCAGAGGAAGCGAAGGAGGAGATGTTCCGGACGCAGCAGGACAGGGCGCAGAGGCAGTGTGTCGCTACGCTTCGAAAATCATTCATACATTTCTGGAATACAGAGCGATTCTAAAATCTCGAACCAATGCCTGGTTGTTCCGAAGGCCTTTGTGTAACCCAGCCTCCTTGTTGACTTGTAGCTGCCAATTGCAGCGTCCTGCAACCCGGTCGGCATTTCCAGTCGGCACTTGCTAGCCCGGGTCCAGTAGAATGGCCTCACAGGCAGCTGCATATGCTGCACACCTTGGCAATGAATGATTCAGGAGGCTGACGAAGAGATACTCGATGAAAGAATCCTGAAAGCTAGAGCCGAGGAGCGAAAATGAGTTCTGCCCGGCCTGACCCGAGAACCCTTTGACTGGGGAAGATCCTGTGCGTGGGTGTGTCGCGCTGAAAAATAACAATAGGAGAAGCGCTTTTTCAAGATGAACCAAACAGAGAGGAGAAATTGGAAATGCAGATGGTTCGTAGGCTGCTGCCTTCCAAGAAGAACAGCGCCTTTGGCGGATGCAGATTCAGCAAGAAGTGGAGGCGGGGCAAACGAAATGGACAGGGAGCGCAAGCATGTCCAAAGGATGTGAATCATCAATGGTACTTGCTGAGTCCGACTCATAGGAGGTTGTTGTAAGCCAGGTTCCAATTACCCATATGTGTCTGCTGATTTCCAGTGCAAAGTCCCACTCGAATGGGCTGAGGCTAAAGCACACGCAGAGCCAGCGTCGTCAAGGGCTTGGAGTGGCAGAAGCACTTGGTCGCCGCATTTGCTTGATGCTTGATGAGGATTGCTTGATGCATGTGCAGGATGTCTCGTCATTTGTTATCATTTTTGTATGGCCGATGGTCGTGTGCCCATGTTGGTTGGTCTCAGCTGCGCTGCGGTTCTGGATGTCGTGCCTTGGTTCCAGAAACGCCCAGCCGCCCTTTTGAGTCGGCCGAGGCGCCCAGCCTCCGGTTCCAAAACGCTTGGCCGGAAGACAAAAGGTGCCAGTGGCAAGGCTCGGGGCTCACATGTGTCATGGGGGATCGGTGGGTTGGACCAGGAAACGCAGCGGGACAGCTCTAAGGAAGGCCCGGAAGCTTCTGGCAAAACTATCAACTGGCGCATTGGAAGCGATTCAGGTGCTGCTGCTGAAAAGGATGAGCTGTCACCGCAACAGAGGATGCGCAAGGCACACGGGACATCGCAAGCACCATGATGCATCATTGGAGCACAAGAAATGCCTTTGAAACTGATGGAACTGATTTTGGCAGGCAAAGGAAGAGGAGAGTGACCGGCAGAGAAAGAGGCTGGAGCAGGCTGGTGTGGTGTGGTCGCGGCAGTTCAAACCAACTGGCATCTCTGGTCATCTGCAGGCTGCTCTCCAAAGCGCCCGAGAGAATGCTCAGGCCAGTGTAATCGATAAAGGAGGAGGGCTCGAATTTGCTGGACACAGGCGAGAGAGAAGATGATGGCTCAGCAGCGCGGCACCGTCCGCGTGGTTGGCGGCGACATGGATGATGGCGCGCCATGGCATCACAGGACTTCCCGACTGCAGGGTCAACACAGGATTCGCTTTGAGTGTAGAATATTCAAACGATTTGGTGTGGCATCCGTGATGTGGATTGAACCAAGTTTGCACTAGGCGCAGGTGTTCACTTTCCAGGACAAGGATGGATGAGCAGGACGCTCTAGGAGCCTTTACTGCGACTCAGGCAGGAGTTTGCTGGCATGAATCGGTGGCTTCAGCATCATTTAGCAATTCTAGGCTGCGAGCAAGTGCTTGAGACCTGCTTGCCATCCCCATTGGCAAGCATTTCTGTCCTATATGATTCGGCGTTATACGCGCACGATTACCATTGGTTTGTTGATTGCCATTGACTTGAGAACTTCCAAGTCAAGACCTTGGGGCAGACCCAAAGCCTCTCAAGTTGGCCTGCTCCCGAGTGTGCGCTATAGCCGGTCATTTCCAGGCAGCGACGGCCCGAAACATGTCCAAGGCCTGCACACTTCTCGCCAGAAAAGAAATGGCATCGAGGTGCATCGCTTCGCCAGGAAGCCATGCGGCAGGGCATCTCTGAGCCCCACCCCGCGGTGACCAGTCCTGGGCACCTTGTCCTCAAGCTTCAAGTTTTGGATCGGCCCTTTGTCTAACCAAGGCCCTTCCGCGGAGCTGGCTTTGCCATCGCGGGCTCTGCATCTACTGGATCCGTAGGCACCTGCGGCACGCGCAGCACGTCGCCGCTTGGCTCCATGGCAGGAATGTCGCGGCCTGGCAGCGCAGGGAGCGCTTCTGAGAAGGCGCTTGGCTAGACCTGGGGCCTGCTTTCGTTGAACTGAAATTTGCGGGTGGCTGCTTTGCCGGCCGAAGATGTCCAAACATGTGTTCACAACATGTGTTCACAACATGTGTTCACAAGGTCTGACCTAGACCTGTCAGCGAAGGAACTGATTCCTTGTATTTGCAAATGTGGCCAGGGAATGACGCTCGGTGCGCTCCATGAAGGTTGGGACCACCTTGCGAGAGAAAAAAAACGCCGAGAGCCGTGAGGTCGGCCACATGTTTCACCTGCTGCCAAACGGCATGGCCGGGCACTGAGACGGAGTCACATGTCAAACCCTCGCGCGGGGCCAATGCTGCTAGACATAATCGTAGGACAGGGCACCTGCCACACTGCAAGCAAGCACTGCGCAACAGAATGCAGAGCAGGGTGAAGTGCTTATGTGAGGAGTCCTTTGGTCAGTGTCACTAGTCGTCGAATGAAATTAATGCCCACCTGCAAGTACTCAGCCGTTGCAAGCGCCAGCGGCTGCAAGCTGAAAGAGCTTAAGCAGTGCAGAGGCGTTTGCTGCGTTTGCGGCCTTCGCATGTTAAGTCGGGGTTGCCAAAAAAAGATGCGCTCATTCACAGTTCCTTGATACTGATGTTTGTGCGTTGATGTCAAAGGCTAGATGGGAAGGTCAATGAAACAGGTTGCGCTTTCGTCTCGCACCCAGGTCAGGATGCCCCCGTTCGCGGTGGGATGAACGAGGTGGTTCGCCCTCGGGAGCATACTATTTGGATGAAGCCACCGTAATCATAGAGTATGCCAAAATTCAGCACACCATGTTACTCATTTTGTAAATCATCGCAAATTCATATGTGAATGTTGTGTATCACAAAATGTAAGTGAAGATAAACGTATAAATATGTTGTTTGTATTCAAATTGTTGCAACAGATCATAGCCCCCAACAGCTAGTTCTTATTCTCTACCCGAAAGTGTTTGCAGGCTTGGCTTCTAGGGGAGCAGGTGTTGCGATTGTGTCCCGGTCGTGGCTTGGTGGAGCTTCCTGGTGTTTAGGTGGCGATTGGTGGGTTAGTTGTGTTTTGGTGTGTTGGTTGTGCTTCTGTTTGTGTTTTGTGGTGTCCCTCTAGTGGTTTGGTTAAGTGTTGTTGGTGGTTCGGCGTCGCGTCGGTGTTTTCATGTTATTCTGCGTGTAAATGTTGGTATATATTTTGAAACATGTTTAAACATATATTATATAAAATGTAGATATTATTTATTTTAGTGTTGAGCGTAGTTTATGGCGATAATATGGGTTAATATTGTTGGCCTTCTTATGATTGGGAATTATATATAAATATATATTTTAATTTTCGATTTGTTATTATAGTTTCTAAATAGTAAATAAATATATTTTAAAATTATTTTACAATATATGATATAAACAATTCGGTGTTTAAAGATGAATTCGGTTTGTATGTCCACGAGATTTCGGCTTTATGAGCATAAAGGGGTTATGCGTCCGAAGGCGTGTGTTTTTTGTGATTTGTGTATTAGCGTAGTTAGGGTTAAGGATCTTTGTTTGAGGTCCGGTTCTATTTAGTTTTGGTTTCGGGCCTTGGAGAAGGTTAGACTCTTTTAAGGGGAGTTGCTTGACCTTTGGGATAGGGAGTAGTGGGCTTCGGCTTAGGTTGTTCTCTCGGAACCTCCCTATGAGGGAGGGGTGGGAGTTGGGCCCGGCGTCGGGCCATTCCTGGTAGATCCTCCCTCTTCCGAAGTAAGAGAGGAGGTTGGTAAGAAAGAGGTGGTGGAAAAGAAGGAGAAGAAAGAGGAGAAAAGGAGGAGAAAAAAGGAGGAGAAGAAGGAGAAGGAATATTATCGGGGAGTGAGCGTGAGGAGTTGCTTGAGAAGAAAGCTTGTTTGGGTGATAAGGAACCAAAGGAGCGAGGAGAGGATTATCTTTGGCACTAAGTGGGTGGTTCTTCGGGGATTAGAGGAGAGAGAGTAGATAAGGAGGAGGATTTTTTGAGTGTTGAGGAAAAGGGAGAGGATGTTTACCTCTTTTGTTTCGTTAAGAGTAGAGGTTATTGAGGAGAAAGAGAGTGTTCGTTTGCTCGAGGAGCGAGTAAGGAGGTATAGTGAGGGTGAAGAAAATTTAGGAAAGGAATTCTTGGAGGTGGATAGGAGGGTGAAGAAAATTTAGGAAAGGAATTGTTGGAGGTGGATAGGAGAAGTAGGAGTAGGTTTCTATTTAGGAGGAATCCCGGGGGTTTATTCTGGAGTTGCTATTTTACCTTAATTATAGAGGGAGCGTAGAGGAAAGAATAAAGGTAGGAAAAAGCAAGAATAATAAAGGAGATATAGAGAGCGTTTCCGTGGTGGGAAGGGTAAAGGAGGAGGAAAGAATAAGGGAGGCCGGCATTCTTGATGCTTCTTAAGATGGGCATTAGAATTGCTATAGCAAAAGCAATGGTTAAGGTTAAGGCACGAATTAAGGCGAGAGGAGCGCTCTCGTTGAGGAGATTAGTAGTTGCGAGGGAGGGGAAATATTTCCGGTGCTGAAGAGATTAGCATTAGGCGAAGTGTTTTAGAGGGGGGAGGTTTTGAGTGTGGCAAACCGCTTAAAGCATTTGTTGAAGCCGGGCCAAAACGTGGTGGTTATTGAAAGGATTTATTCGGAAGCCCCGTTTTAGTATACGGCGTGATGGAAAAGGTCGAGGAGGACGCTTTCGGGATAGTAATCGAGATTCGCTTGATTGGGACCTAATGCGAGGATTTCTTGAAATGTGCGTCCGGGAATCCGAATTGCCGATATCGGACATTTTTGTGGATCGGACATTGTGTGAGGACGGGTTGGTGCATATCTTGAGGATGAAATTGTATATCTTAGGAATCGAAGAGCCTTGGGTCGATAACTTGGTGGGTATCGTGAAGGTGGACGAGATGCCGCTCTGCGGGCTAAAGAGTTAAATAAAAAAGGAAAGATAATGCAGAATGTGATCAAGAACAAGCAGAGATAAAGAGCAAGAAGAGAGGGAGGAACCCTTCATCGGTGACCAGCAATACGGAGAGCTGGAGGAGGAGAAAGAAATTTAAGGTGGAAACTACAAAGGACGCGATGATGCTTTTCGCCAGGATCGGGATGGACCCGGATCCCTAAGATGAGGATGGCTGTGATGAAGAAGATGAAGCGGAGTTTGAAGGCCCTCAGGCCGAGGGAGGAAAGTAGGGAGACTCTTTGATGCCGGCCCTTTACTCCTTTAACGTGCGGGACGCGCTTGCGGAAGCCCAAGCTGGTTTGGAGCCCAATGAGTTGTTGTTGGTTTACCTCGATGATGTTTACATCGTCGCTCGGCCCGACCGCGTCCGCTTGCTTTTTGATTGCTTGTTTGAGACTTTGTGGCGCGCTGCGTGCATCCGCTTTGATCCATAGTAAGACGCTGGTCTGGAACGCTTTTGGCCGGGAGCCCCTTGGAATCTCCGTATTTGCTGTTGGGGGAGGAACATGTGTTTGTTGGATCGTTTACTTGGCCCTCGCCTAGTAGGGTCTTCGCGTGTTCGGCGTGCCCGTTGGCTCCCCCCAATTTGTCGCAGCTCAGCTCGACGCTCTCGCTACGAGCTAGCACACGCTCTTCGCTCGACATACAGACTTCTTGGCTGCTTTTGCTGTTTTGTTGGCATTCCTGGGTGCAACTATGTCCTGCGTTCTCCCACCTGAATCCACGGCAGAGTTCGCGGCTGCTCATGACCTCGCTGTTGCGGACTGCTTGTCCACCTTGCTTCAGGTAGGCCCGTTGCCCCCGTAAGCGCAAGGTTGCCTCTTCGGCTTGGTGGTCTCGGTCTACGTTCTGCGGCCGTCGTCGCCCCTACTGCGTATTGGGCGTCTTGGGCCATAGCTTGCTTCTTCTGGAAAGGCAAACGCCTTCGCTTCTTCGGACATTCTGCCCCCACTTGAACCTGCCTGAGGCCCATGCCCCTTCCTTGCGAGCTGCAGCCGCGGCGGCCCTCGCGCTGGAGGACCCCAGCTGGGAGCCCCCTACTTGGCAGGATGTGTTGGCTGACGCTTTGCCGGCCGCGCGCTCCGATGATACTGACAGCTTGTTTCTCAGGTGACGCAGCCCGTGGGTGGCAGCGGCCTGCCACTACGGCCCTGGAAAACCGTTTCTTCTAAGACCTATCCTTCCACCTTGACCCCTCTGTTGGCGCTGTTAGAGTCGTAGCAGGGGCCCTTCGTTAGCCGTGTTCTGACCGTTTTCCCCACCAGCTCTGAGCTCACCGCCCCCTCGCACCTTTTCCGGATCGTCCTTCTTCGGCGCCTCGGCTCCCATTCCTCGTCGCCGAAAACACCTGCCGGTGCCATCGCCGTTGGACTCCCTTGACGGCGCTCTCGAGCGGGCGGCCGCCCGGGTGTGCCATGAGGCTGGGGCCCGAGTGACCGCCAACACGCCCTGGATGACAGCCCAAAAAAATGGAGCTGTGTCCTCTCGAGGTGGCGTAGGTGGTAACGAGAGTAGAAACAGCAATTGTGGTCAAGGAGGCCCGGAGATGGATTTTGGCAGCCGGGAGGGGCCTCCCCGAGTTGGGTGGAAAGATCCTAGGAAAGGACGCGAATACAAAGACAAAGGAAAGAAAGGGAAGGAGGAGAAGGGTGCTAAAGGAGGAGAGAAGAAGTGAGGAGAGATGCGTAGTCAAAGAAAATCTTAGGTGAGACAGCTTTGGATAAAGGATATATGGATTTGGAGGAGGATGATATACCTCTTATGGATGAGATGCCCGATCGAGGGTTAGCAGAAGAGAAATTAAACACTGCGATAAATGAAGGGAGGCAATTGTGCTCCTAACGATGATAACGATGTAGGCTTGACGCTTACGGGCCGATTTGTGGCGAAGAGCTTTAGGAGTGCGGCTGGAGATGGGGGGATTTTCATTTGGTGAGGGGATTTTTTGGTGGGAGAATTATTATTTACTTCATTAAATGAGTGTTGTATGAGTAAGTCCATGGGCATGGTGTTTCTATTACTTATAATTATGGATTCCCTTAGAAAGCCTTTCCTATTAGTATTGGAAGTTGACCTCATGATCCTTAGAAACATGGTTTGGTTGCTCAATTATCTTAATGGGTCCCTTGTTTTCGGCGCAGAAGGTAAGGGGATCCTTTGTTAACAGAGGCTTTTGGTGGGTCTTTTGGAGCAGGCGTTAGTCGTAGGAGCCTAGAAAGATCACGCTGAGCAATTGGGCTGGTCCGATTTTTTTAGGGTTAAGGGAGTCGATTATTTCGGAGAGGAAATAAAGGTTGTTCGTTTTATTTTCTGGGAGATGGTAGATTTTGTTTTGTTTTTGGAAGTAGGGATGGTTACCCTCTCCTAAGTTTGTGATGTAGGTCGTAAGCATTATATTGAGAATTTCGAGGAGTATTTTCTTCTTATTGAGGATTAAGTATTTACAAAGGACCGAAGGTGATGGTTCCCCCGGACGATTGGGAATTGTTGGTTTCCAAGTTAATTGAATGGGGTATTTGCAAAGTGATTAAGGAGTCCGAGGTTTTGGATAGATTTTGTTGAATGGACTTTTCGGGGTATCTAAATGCGAGTGGGAAGGTAACATTGAGGTACATCGTTTGATTATGAAATTGATTCTCCTTATTCATATTTATAGGGGGATTAATGGTGATATCGTTATGCTACCCTCTTGGAGTTCTATGGGGCCACTATCCCTGGATATTGATGAGGATCTGTTGGTTTTTAGTTAGGACGTTAGATGTTTCTTCTTTATCTTTTTAGGGTATCCTTGTCGTAGTATCGCTTTATGGTTT